ACTGTACCCCCGAGTACCATCTACCTTTGTTTTTTAACTCGTTTTCCCAAAAATTATGCCATTTATTATTAAGGAGTTTTTTACATGCGATCAAAATGTCATTTTTATCTAGGGGAATGTTGTTGGTGACTGCAAAATGTTTCCCTAGGTTTGCTAGCCAATCTGCAGTTTCATTACCTAGAATATTAGTATGTCCCGGAATCCATGCTAATTCAATACATGTTCCATTATTATTAGAATTAATGATCATTTCTTTTGTTAGAATCGTGATATAATCTTTTCTTTTATAATTTTTGTCAGAAGTTAATTTTTCCAAGGCGCCCTGAGAGTCGGAAAAAATTACCCTTTTTTGATATTGTTTGTCAGGCAATAACTACAAGTTTTATTTATCGCAGCAATTTCTGCTGTGCATATTTGTGCAAATTTGGGGAGGCTATCATGATAGGAATAATTAGTTTGTGGTATGTATACACCCACACCCACTTTTTCTTCGACAGAATCTAGAGATCCATCTGTGAAAATTTGACAATAATCCGAATACGATTGTTCTATTAGGTATTTGAACTCGTTATTGTTATCTACACCCTTTTTTTGTTTTAAATTCTTATAGTCCAATTTATGCATTTGATGATCGTATTCATATACAAAAAATGGTATATTATCTAACTTTTTAATCTGTTTAAAGTTTAAAGTATTGTGAAAAATCCCTGTATGTTTTAATTATTATTGATTCCTCTCTGTTTTTCCAATAATTAACTTTTAATGTACAATATTCATGAAGGTCTTCAATTAAATTTTGGATAGGGTGATCTATTATTGAATAAACCTTTGTTAAATATTTAATTGTTAACCATATTTTTCTGTAATCAATTGACATTTCTGCGCATTCTGCTAGTAAAGCTGTTCTCGGGGTTGATCTCATACATCCTGTTATTATTCTTAGGGCTTGGTATTGTATTTTTTTCATTTTGTTGTTATTACTTTTGCTTAGGGGACTGATTGCTTGGCATCCGTAATCTAAATGAGTTCTAATTAGACTTTTATATATATTATGCAAAGTGTTAGGGTCTGCGCCCCACCAGGTACCACATAATGCACGCATGATATTCATATTTTTTTTAATTTTATCTATAATATACGTTGTATGTTTATTAAAATTTAAATTATGATCCAATATTATCCCTAAGTATTTTACCTCCTTTGTCCATGTGATGTTGTTATTATTATATTTTGTATTGCCTGTTATTTTTTTGGAATTTCCTTTTCTAAATATAACGGCTTGAGTTTTGTTGCTAGAAATCGTGAGATTATGTTTTTCAAACCAAACCTGGAGTTGACTTAGAGCTTTGTTAATTTGTTCAATTAAATTTTCTATCTGGTACCCACTGCATAAAATAACAATGTCATCTGCATAAGATATGATTTTAATATTTGAGGGTAGTTTTTCCTGAATATCATGAATGTAAATATTAAATAATAAAGGGCTTATCGGAGACCCTTGCGCTAAACCAATGTTAGTAACATTATTTCCTATTAGGTTTCCATTTTTATCTTTAATTTGAATAATTCGATTTGAGATGAGATTCATTACGCAATTACACAAGTATGTGGGAATGCCAATTGTTATTAATTTTTTATATAATTTGTAAATATTAACATTGTCGTATGCTGCTTTTATGTCTAGGAATACCCCTACCGTAAACATATTTCTGCTAAACCCTAATTGGATGTATGTTGTTATATAACTTATATTATCAACTACGCTCTTTCCTGATCTGAAACCGCTTTGTAGATCCCCGAAAATGTTGTTATTTTCAACAAACCATTCTATCCTATTTTTTATTAGGCTTTCCCATATTTTGCAAACACATGATGATAATGCTATTAACCTGTAGTTATTTGGATTGTTGTCTTGTTTATTTGGTTTGAGGAAAGGGATTATAGTATGTTTCTTCCAATCCGGAGGGATGTGTTCTCCTTCTAGGTATTTGTTAAATAAATTAAGTAATGTTAGTTTGACATTTATGGGGAGGTTGTTTAGCATAGAATATGAAATTTCGTCGACTCCCGTCGCAGTGTCCTTTTTATATTTTAAATTTGTTTCAAATTCGGCATATGTAAATTTGTTAATGTTTTCGTTGTTATCAATTATTTGGAACCCGGGATCAATCTGGCAGACAGTTAACTCGTTTAAAATTTCGTTCGCGATTTCAGTTGTTGGAAGTTTAGTATCATTATTGTTTGATAATGCATATGAGAATTTTTTTACCATAGACCATATTTCTGTCGTGCAAGTATTTCTATTTAGTTTTGAGCAAAATTCTCTAAATTTATTTTTTTTTTTAATTTTAATTACTTTTTTTACTATCGCTATACTTTTTTGAACTGCTATATAATTGGTTACAGTCGGATTTTCTCTAAATTCCCTGATCGCTACTTTCCTACCCTTAACAATTTTTGCACATTCTTCATCCCACCACGGGGTTGATGGATACTTATTATTATTAAATTTGTTATTTTTTCTTGGAATGCACTCTTCCGCAGCGTTATTAATAATGTTATATAATTCGTTATAATTAATATTTTTATTGATAGAATCTGTTTTTTCTGTTATATGAAGATAGTATTTTTTCCAATCTGCTTTCTTGAAGTTTCTTTTTGGTGGACTGTTGTAATGATGTAGGATTTGTGCTTTATGAATTGTACACAAGATCGGGAAGTGATCGCTTGATCCGCAGTCTGGTATCACACTCCAATTTGTTTTTATTGCGATTTGTGGTGAACATAATACTAAGTCTATTGCACTTACATTTGAACCGGGAGGGGTTAATCTAGTGGGAGACCCGTCATTCATCAATATTAGGTTTAAGGTTTCTAGAGTTGATTCTATTGTATTTCCATTAAAATCTTTTTTTTTACTTCCCCACAATGGGTTATGTGAATTAAGGTCGCCCATAATGATTCTTGGGGAATTGTATGTATTTACAAATCTAGACCATGTTGCTATGTTAATTTTATTGCCTGAGGGGCTATAGATGTTAATTACTGTGATATTATTTATTTTTATTGCCATCGTTTGTGTATTTTCAGGAAGGAAAGGATGGTTTTCTGTTACCACTGTGAAATCTATATTTTTTTTTATTGCAAAGGCAACCCCTCCATACCCGTCTGTTCTATCCTTTCTGATTATTTTGTATTTTTTAATGTGAAAGCTTTGATTTGATTTTAGCCAAGTTTCATTTAAAGCGATAACATCTGGCTCATATTCATTTATCAATAAAATTAAATTGTGTTTATTTGCGTTTATGCTTCTAATATTCCAGCTAATAATTTTTAAATCTACTTTATTATTATTTTTATTATACATTTTTTATTATTTGTTTTTTATTTGTTTTTGTTTGTTATTTAATAAAATGGGTCTGTTGAGCACCCTGGTTTGTCCCTGTCCACATATGTGGTATTTCGTTTGCAAATATGTTCTACAAAGCCTATCACTTGTTTTATTTGTTCCTCACTCATGTTACTAATCAGTTCTGCTATCATATTTTCTTGATTTATGCTATCGGTGGGTGTGTTTACGATTATTGGAGAATTACTGTAACTATTACTCCTTCCCGAAGGAGTTACTAGACACTGATTGTGTGCTACTTTATCAAATCCTGGTGTATCATTGGATTTTCTTTTTTTTGGATTTTGTGTAACCTGACTATATGATCTTAAATTTTTACTTTTATTATCAATGTCATCTAAACATACTATGCCCGAATTTTTACTTAAAACTGGGAAGTCCCGTGGATGTACATAATTTGTTTGTCTTTGATATGTTTTTGGAATTTTTTTGTTTGCATCAAAGAAGGATATATTTTCCATTGCCATTTTTTCTCTTATAGCTAACTGTCTAATGTATTCCGGACAATTTTTATCTGTTGAATTGTGATTCGTACTGGCGCAATTGAGACATCTCATATTTTCTACACAAGAGCCCTCATGAGTGTTTGTGCAAATGTTGCATTTTTTTTTCCCTTTGCATTGTTTAAGAATGTGTCCAAATCTGAAACAGTTATAGCACTGGATTACGGGTAACTTGTAAGTTGTTACTGGCATTGTCAGAAAACAAATATCTACAGTTCTTGGTAATAATTTACCAGAAAATGTGTATAGTATTGTACTCGTGGGCACATATACAGTCTCCCCGTTTTCATTGATTGTTCGTCTGTTCATTCTTTTTATATCAATAATTTTATGATTATTTGTTTTTGAGAATTTGTATAGGTCATCTATTGTGAAATTTTTATCTACATATTTTACAATTCCCTTGCAAGATACAAGGTTTGAAGGAATAAACATATTATATCCTTTTTCTAGTAATGTATTATTCTCTAAGAAATTATTTGCTGCTTTATAGTTTTTAAATTCTACACTTAATCTATTCCTGCCCTTTTTTTCAAATTTTTTTATATGTTCAAGGTTAAGTTCAAATATTTCTCTAGCTATGCTTAGATGATTTAGATTTCCTAAGTTTTTTTCCAATGTCTCATTAGCTTGAATATACACTATATAAGGACCACAATCATTTGTCTGATATTTGAATTTCTTTTTATTTTCAATAACGGGCATTTTTGTATTTTAACTTTATGAATTAGTTAATATATGTATTTTATTAATGAAATTGATGCTTTAATTAAATTATTGTATGTTCTGTAATTAAGGATATCTTACCAAAGGGGATGTTGAACACAAATAGGTTAGTAAATATGTATCGGCACCGGCTTATCGCTTAGTCGACCACACTCGTTCAATGCTCACACCGAACCCTCGCACTGGGCTTTTTAGACATGAGCATTGTAATATGACAGTTGACAGAGAAATAGAGGTTAGTTGAATGCACAAATTTTAGGGCATATAAAAATTTCAGAAGAACAACTGGGCTTAATTTTGCTGATACCATTATATTTATCGAAAAATTTAATATTTTTTTTTACCATTGGATTTTCTTTCAGGCATCAAACCATTTGTAGAAGTTAGTATCGTACAACTATTAATGAAAAACAGTCAGATCAAACAGTTTAAGTACTTCAAAGTACTGGTTCAAGAATTTCATATAAAGGTGGATCTTGGGTTCATAAATGCTATTGTTGAATTGCTTCAAGAATCTGAACAGTCTGACGAGGAAGAGGTAATATCGGTTTACTATATAAACATTTTTTTTTTTGGTAATTTTAATACTTAATTTTTTATGTCATAAATTATCTTTATGATGTTCAGGACAAGCCCAATTCAGTGTTCACAGTTCATAATTAATTATTAATTTAAGATAAATTTTTAGAAAAAACACTTCTTGACGGACATGCACCTGGTGGACGAAGGCCTGTACAGCCACGTTTCAGGCGAATCCATCAGAGAACAAAAGAGTTTCTATGACTTACTCCACTTCTCCCCCCTCAAAATCCACATCAGTTTCTCGATGGCCGCCGGGTCGTCACCCACTGGACAGAACGTATCTACGCCTAACTTCCTAAAAATTATTCTGCAAGGCATCGGAGTGACACTGACAGATCTTCAAGACGTTGTTTTTAAGTAAACGGTATCACGTGAACGAAACACTTCAAATTGACGTTCTTTTTTTTTAGATTGGCGTTTTTCGAAAGAACTTTCACTTTCCTCACACAGAAACAACTGACCAGCGAAGTGACCAGTCATTATATAGGACAATCGGTGAAACAACTTTATGTGTTGGTCTTAGGATTAGACGTTATCGGAAATCCTTATGGCCTTGTTCTGGGTATCACGAAAGGTGTTGAGGATTTGTTTTATGAACCATTCCAGGTACGTCTAAATGAACAAATGTTAAATTTTGGTTTTTAGGATATTCTGATCGCGTTCACAGCGTACGACACAACATTCACTAGCACTGCTAGCAAAAAAATATTTTTTTAAATGTTTAAGTTGTGAATTAAGGGAATTAAAAAATTTCGTAAATTTTGTAGCTATTTTTTAAAGGCTCGGTGAAAAAGGTCATGTCAAGATAAAAAAAATTGCATTTTGAGGTCTTAAGTCTCTAGTTTCAAGACCTTTTGACAAAGAATTATTTTGGGCTGCGATTATCGAGCAATCAAAAGAAATACCTCAAGAAAATAATTTTTCAATTTTTTTTTTTTCGTTTTTTTTAGGAAAATTTTATCAATAACACTGGCACACAAAATTAAAAAAGTGATCAATACCTTTGGTTTGACCCAATGGGCTTTACGTGCTGAATCCGAATCTGAAGTCCATTTAGCTCAAACCCACAAAATTTTGAGTAATTGGCAAAAAATTTGAAAAAATAGTGAAAAATTGCCGAAAATTTGTTCTGAACTTAATCAAGTGGGTTTCTTGTGTATTTTGATGTACTGAAGTCTATATAAATAGCAGCGAAAAATCACCAAAAATAGCGAATAATTGCTGAAAATCACGTTGAGTGTGAAAATTTTTTTCTGACCTTGATCAAGTGTGTTCCTTATGTATTTTGATACGCTGAATTGGAGTCTGGAGTCTATTACCTGTACCCCTCCACATATTTGCAAAAAAAAACACAAAAAACTTAGGAAAGACGTATTCTAGATTGGATCAGGTGTTCTCATAAATTTTGTACAGTCGAATTTGAATCTAGTCTGTTGAGCCTCATTACCCAAAAATCGCAAAGTATCGCAAAAGAAATGGAAATTGTGAATCCCAAAAAATCACGAATAAATGTCATGGATATGAATTATTTCCAAATAAATTCGAACCAGGCTTTCTTGGATGTCGCTCTTACACTTTTCTTCTCTTGTAGCAAAATCTTTTCTCTTCATCTCAAGCTTGGTCTCATGAAGCAGTTTGTGAAAGCTCTGAACAAATACGGTGATAAGTGATGCCAAATTGAAAGAAGGTATTTTCATGGTCCTCAAAATCGTACTCTATTTCGAAAAAAAAATTTCATTACGAGGATGAATTACATATTGAAAAAGCAAAAAGTGGGTTTACAAAAATTTGGTTGAAGAGATGTTGAAAAATTTCAAACAGGTTGCTTGATGAATCTTAAATTGCACTTCCTACACTCTCACCTCGACTACTTTCCTAAAAACCTTGGAGGATACAGTGAAGAACAAGGAGAAAGATTCCACCAAGATGTAAGTGAAATGGAGAATCGATACCAAGGAAGATGGGATAGCAACATGATGGGAGATTTCTGTTGGACACTAAAGAGAGAAAACGAATCAGAATAGACAGAAGAGAAACAAAAACCCGCTGCGTAGGTCATTTGAAGAGAAAAGAGTTCGCTACACGAAAAGAAAAGTGTAAGAGCAGCATAAAAGAAAGCCTGGCTCAAATCAGTTGAAATTATGTGGAAGTAATTCATATCCATGACATTTATTCAAATTCGACTCGACAAAAGGACCCCGCACAAAACTTATGGAAATGGATTTCGGTGGATCTCTCTCAAATTTTAGGAATGAACTCTTCACATCATCCTGATCAAAAGTTCTCATGGGCACAAAACTCGGAAACCGCTCCCAACCCCCCAAATTCACCCCCAATTCTCCCCACCAAAGGTCAGGGGATGCATTCGGCTCATTATACGACTCCACCAAAAAAGGTATCAGACCAAGACATGTAATATATGGTTTCCGGTGTATTTTTGAGCACTGGACACGAGTATGTCATCATTTTTGCTCTAGCACGTATCAGTCTTCAGCAAATCGCTGAAGAAGCTTCAGAAAACTGAAGAAAGAACACCATGGTTCTTCAGCGTTTTACTGAAAATGGAAGAATTTTATATTAAATCTAAATGCGGATTCATATCAAAATTGTTACCCATTTTCTGCGTTATCCAGGACCAACGGTGTGGACGTAATCAGTTTCTGGTCCCATATGTCTGTGTCTGCATCTGTCTGTGTCTACGTCTGCCTGAGTCTGCGTCTGCCTGTGTCTGTCCGAGTCTGTGTCTACGTCTGTCTGAGTCTGTATCTGCGTCTGTCTGAGTCTGCGTCTGCCTGTGTATACGTCTGTCTGAGTCTGCGTCTGTCTGTGTATACGTCTGTCTGTGGTTTTTTTGTGTATTTCTTGCCATTTTTAATTCTTTCGTATATTTAATCTTTAATCAAACTTATCTTGAATTATTTATCACTTCAAGCAATACTGTACTAGGATATTTAATATGAAGTTGATGCCTAGCATATCCCATGTACCACAAGACACAAGCTACATGGCAGCAACTTTCCAATGTTCTTGCGCCAGACTGACATGTGCAGTAATATCCAATAATAGGTTCCTCTTCTTCTTCAATAGCTTCTTCCTCTACAATAAACACTTGATGGGTAGTTGTACGGCGAAACCTGGATTTAACTCTTACGCGTATAAAACCTGATTCATTCAACTTTTGATCCATTTCCAAAGCCCCATCACCTTCTAAATTGTCTTGAATGTAAGATGGAGTAAGTTTTACTGCTACTAAATGTGCTTTAATTACCTTAAGTCCTCAACTAATAACTGAGGAAGCTTCAAAAACTGAAGAACCACGGTGTTCTTTCTTCAGTTTATTGAAGCTTCTTCAATGATTAGTTGAAGGCTTAAGGTAATTGAAGCACATTTGACATCAGAATCGTACTCAGCGTGCCAAAAATACACAGGAAACCACATATTCGTGTCCAGCGCTCAAAAAATACATCGGAAACCATATATTGCATGTGTGGGTCTGATACTTTTTTTAGTGGTGTGGTGTAATGAGCCAACCTTTGGGGGTGATTTTGGGGAGTAGGGAGCGCTTTCCAGGTTTTGTGCCCATGATAACTTTTGATCAGGATGCTCTGAAGAGTTCATTCCCAAAATTTGAGAGAGATCCACCGGGGATGCATTTCCATAAGGTTTGTGCGGGGTCCTTTATGAGAAGAACACTAACTTGATTCAATCTAGAAAACTTCTTTCGAAATTGTCTCACTCTCATTATATGATTTTTTGCCATTTTCAGATATTTTTTTTTGCAAAATCTGTGGGGCATGCAGCTAATTTCAGACTCGAATTCAGAGTATCAAAATAACGAGCATTCAAATAAAAACGTGGTCAAGTTGGTTCTGAAGATTTGGACGTAGGGCGTAGCGTATAGCAAATGAACTTAACCGTCATCTGTCAAAGCGCTATATCGCCGCTATCAATTTAAATATTTTCGTTTTAAAAAGCGTTTAAAATGGTGTTTTCTCAAGAACAAAAAGTGTTTATCATAGAGTCCTACTTTAGAAATGGACGCAAGATTGATGGAATATGGAAGCATTCTATTGAGGAATGTTTCATAGAATTTCAAAATCAATTTCCCGGCGTTGTTGAGTACAAAATTTTTCAAAGTGCAGTTCAGCGTTGTGTTAATGTTTTTCGTGAAACGGGCAGTGTAACAAGAAAAGAAGGAAGCGGCCGACCTAAAAAGCGGACTGGAATTACAAGAAAATGTCCAACAAATAATGGCAAATGCGCCAAGAACTTCTGTACGTGTTTTATCACAAATGGTGGGAGTATCAGTCGGTACCTGCCACACAGTGTTAAAAAAAGATTTACGTTTGTTCTCCTATCGTTTAACTTGTCAGCAAGAACTTCATGAAGTTGATTTTCTGCGACGGGCTGTATTTTGTGAATGGTTTTTAAACAACTACGGTGAACTTCATAATATCACCTGTTTTTCTGATGAAGCCTGGTTTCATTTAAGTGGTTACGTAAACTCACAGAATATGAGAATGTGGTCTTCTGAAAAACCAGATAACTTTTTTGTCGAGGGCCCTCTACACGCTCAAAAAATTGGAGTTTGGTGTGCTCTCAATCGAAGGAGGATTTATGGACCTATTTTTTTGAATGGTACTCTTATTGCGCAAAGGTGTAGAGAAGAAATTATCGCTCCTTTTGTTAACCATCTGGAAGAAAACGAAATTACAAACTTTTACTTTCAACAAGATGGCGCAAGGGCACATACGGCAGGCGAGACGATGAATATGTTGAGGGAAGTTTTCCAAAATCGACTAATAAGTCTCAATGCTGAACATGAATTTCCACCGAGGTCATGTGATATTACGCCGTGTGATTTCTTTTTGTGGCCTTACCTTAAAAACACTATTTTTGAACTGCCTATTCCTGATTTAAACCATCTGCAGGCTCGACTTATAGACAAGATTCGTGAAATTAACAATACCCGAGCATCTTAGAAAATGTCTTTAATTCTTTGAGGAACAGGTGTGAAAAGTGCTTGGAACAAGGAGGGGGACACTTTCAGCAGCTGCTTTAATTTATTGTTATAACAAGGAGGGGGACACTTTCCGCAGCTCCTTTAATTGTTTGTTATTGTTATCACGATTATTCTTTAAAATAAAGTTATATAGTCATTAACGTTATTGAATCTGACAGCTGCTATTATACAGCTCGTTGAGAAAAGAGGTTAAGTTGGTCGCTATAAGCTACTCCCTACGTCCAATGTGTCAGAGCCAACTTCGACCACATTTTTATTTGAACGCTCGTTATAAAATCATATTTCACAAATTTGTTAACAGTAAAATAAAGGTTTTCAAAAATTGCGCATTATTGCAAAAAAGCAATGGATGTTGATGGAATTTATGGAAAAGATGGTCAATCCAATAGCTGAATATACACGAGCAGTTTTATTGACCGATAAATTGTAAAGACAAAACTGCTAGTTTGGGTCATGAAGAAAAATTGAAAAATACCAATATTTTGGCGGTTAAATTAATTAAATTGCTGCCAAATAATTTGGAGTGATTATTTTGTCACGTACACTAACACAGTGATTAAACGGCAGATAAATCTGTCGTGATTTATCAGGCGATATTTTGTAGAGCGCCATCTGCGTGTTAGTACATGTTGGAGGAGATATGTAAAATCGGTTAATTTCTGTCTTGAGATCAGAACATACTACAATTTCTAATATGACATCAAAAGAATTTATTAGTGGACTGATCGATTTATATTGTAATCACCCGTGCTTATGGAAAACAACCTCACAAGAAGATACAAATAAAAATATTAAAAACGAGAGTTATAAGGAATTAGCAGCATATTGTATTCTTTCCTCAATAACCATGTTTTAGCCCACATTGTTCGCTTTTTATTTCTTCTGCGTCGTTTTATAATCGCATAACTCACCATTCCAAGTAATCAAACGCGTTTAAAGTCGTTTTTGTTAATGTTTTCGTAGAACACTCAATAAACATTCAGATAAACTTTGTACCATAATTCAATTCAATAAAACTTGGCATTAGTGTCTTCTCTAAGATTTGTCTGAAAGATTTTTCTTAATGATTTATCTGACAATTATTTGGTACAATTTATCGCTCCAATAAGTCTTCGCGTGTGTATTCAGCTAATGACCAACATGTGTGCCACATAGATCCATTTCCCCCGTGTAAGCAATTTTTTATTTAAGCCTTTATTTTTAAGTAAATAAATTGTAAATATGGCGATTTCTTGCACAGTTTACTCTTTAAATTTAAACATTAAAAAAATTTTGAAAAAACACCCCAGCCTTAGGAAACAATGTTGTCTTTTGGTTGTTTTTTATTTGGGTTACTATGTTTATTTGTATTTCAAGCAGGCGACTCTTGATCCTCAATGAAATGCCTCTTCAAAATTGGATAATGTCTAATTTTTTGTTGTAAGAACCACAGTTCTTACATAATTATAGCACATTCTCGTTGCTTTTATTTTAGATTATTTTGTTGTGACTGCAAATAGGAATCTAGAATTCTTATCAGTTATTAAGCAATCGAAGTGTTTAATAGCAATAATAGTACTGTTAGCAAAAGTAGTGTGGCGTATAAGTATTTTAATTTTTACATAGCATTTTTACATGGAATGATTATGGTCCCTCAACACATCAATTGAGTTTGTGAATTAGAAGAAAAAGGAGTAATAAACGATGACCTGAGTTAACGTCTTTCTGAGATAATTGTACAACAAATCCTCTATTTGCCGTAATATGAAATTAATGAACCTTTAATATTTTAATTAAGTGAACCGCTGAATATCGTTCTACTACTTTGTAAACCCAAATTGACATACTCTGTCTGAATCCAATCGATCCCAATGATAGTCGCCAGCAATCATCACCAATATTCTAGCATCGGTTCTTTTAAAAAGGTTCATTATTAGTGTTCTGGGATTACATTTAAAAATTTTTTTAGGGTGCCATTCAAGGGCCCGGCGAATTTGCTGAAGGTTTAGCTTTGGGTGTGAGAAGTCTGTTCGGTCACACCGTAGGAGGTGCTGCAGGAGCTGTATCTCGTATAACCGGTGCCATGGGTAAAGGAATTGCTGTTTTGACCTTCGATGAAGAGTACCAAAGGAAGAGAAGAGACCAGCTGAATAAGAAACCGGCCACTGTAACGGAAGGATTTGCTAGAAGTGGAAAAGGTTTAGTTATGGTAAGAACGAAAGACTTGGTGCATTTTTTTTTTTCAATGCACTTAAATTTTAAACTATTGTCTTTTGCAGGGTGTAGTTTCCGGTGTGACTGGCGTTGTTACGAAACCAGTCTCGGGGGCTCGGGAGCAAGGTGTCGAAGGATTTTTCAAAGGCCTAGGCAAGGGAGCTGTTGGACTAGTTGCCCGTCCCGTGGCTGGTGTCGTAGATTTCGCTAGTGGCTCTCTAGATGCAGTAAAAAGGTACAAACATACGAAAATCGTTTAACTGACCCCGAAATTACATTTTTCTGTTTTAGGTGTGCTGAAAGCGGGGAAGAAATCTGCAAGTTGCGACCCGCGAGGTTCATACCTGCTGACGGTTTAGTCAGGCCTTTCAACAGTAAGGAGGCCATGGGACATAAACTGTTGATGGAGCTATCCAAGGGAAAATACGCTCGGACGGACATCTATGCTGCCCATTATGTGATGATAGAAGAGAAGGAAGTGTTGCTGCTTACGGATAAACGCATAGCTTACATATGTCACAACGATATATTTGGAGGCTGGCAGGTGAGAAGAAAACATTTATAATATTAATTAAGAACAAGAAACCATTTTTCTATTATGTCCACACTTCTCCGACTTCCCATTCCCAACAAACAAGAACTAAAATGGCGGCAGCTGCAAATACCTGGTCTTTATAGTGCCCTTGTTACCAGGTGATATATACTAAAAAGAAATAGGCAGCAGTCATAAATAAATGAAACTCCTCATTTTATTACTTCATCTGATAAAATAATGCGTATTCTCTGTATAGAAATTGTAATGTGCCATTCATTTCGCATAGTGTTCCGATATGTTCAACCTATGCACATGTACTTGGAACATCCTATTGTTACAAGCGCTTATTTTCATTACGATGAGTCCTGTGCAAAAAGAGAGGTGACTAAGACCGCATGGCTTGACTTCTTGAATGTCAGTGCATGTCATAAGGGTGCAGGTGTTACTACTATTTTCACGTTTTATTCTAATAAGTGTTGTTAAAATTAAATGTTAAATTGTATGTGGCTGTGAGACCAATCTTATAATCAGGGTAGTCATAAAAAATGAAATTTAACGTATCAGGATTGTATCATAGACAGTGTAGAACAGGAAATTTCACAATCCCTTTTCAATGATGTTGCTAACCAGAATCATTCCAGAAATATTTGGCCAGTCGTAAATACCTCCCTTTTATTGCCAAAATTTAGTTCAGTAAACAAAGACATGTAAAACTAAGAAAAATTTCATAGAATTGAATGAACTACTTTACCCCAGTTGAATGTTAGGGCTTCATTTTCAAAATGGCGTCCAAAGTTCGCTAAAAACAGTTTTTTTTTTTCATTAAAAAAATTAAAAATTTTAGAAATTGTTCTAGACAAAAGTTGTAATAAAATTTTTGAGCCCAGCATGATGTCATTGATAAACAAATGTATTAGTCATTGCAAAACACACCTAAAAATCGTATTATTTAACTTCTATATCTTTAAAATGAAAAAAGATTTTTTTACAAAACTTTCAGAATATGTAGTTCTTTGCAGAATAAAGGCATTTTTGTAAAATTGTAAAGGGTTATATAGTTTTTGCAAAAATTTAATTTTTCGTAAAAAATTACATTTTTTTCAAATTTCAATAAATCACTCAGTAATGTCAAACGGAGCAAGCATTTTAGGGGCCCAACAAAATTAAGTTTACTGTAATAAAAAAGGGAGTCAATCATTGCCGACTATTTTTTATATTGAAGTAAAAGTATTCAATTACAATGTGTGTAAATGTTAGACATTAATATTAATAAATGGGGTCGTAGCGATTTTTTGAAAAAAAAAAAAAAAAATTCTTGGCTACTGTTGGTCGTAACACATTTTTTTTAAATTCGTGAAAAAATGTCAGCTTTCAAATGGCAATAATGCCATTCCGATTTAATTTCAACGATAAGAAAAAGATCTACATTTTTCGACTCGTAAAAAGAAGTCAAATTTTCAGTAGATTTTTTGGATATTTTCAATTATCTTGCAATAATCCCACAATTTGCACAGGCAAGTACAACTCTTAGAGAAAATTTTATGCCCACATAAGTGCATTAATGTATGATTTATTGAAACATGAAAAAAATTTATTTATTTTGTAAAACTCAATTTTTGCAAAAATTATCAAATATTTTGCAATTTTACAAAAATGCCCTTATTCTGCATGGCAAAGACTACATACCTATTCTGAAAGTTTCGTCAAAAAATCTTTTTTTGTTTTAAAGATATGTTAATTTGTTTATTTGTATATCAATTGACATCGGGCTGGGTTCAAAGTTTTGTTATAAAATGTTCTACAATTTTGACTAAAACATTTTTTTCTAAAAAGTTTAGTTTTTTGCGAACTTTGGATGCCATCTTAAAAATTCCCTAACATTCAGCCGGGGCAAAGTAGTTCATTCAATTCTACGAAATATTTCCTAATTTTACGTGTCTTTGTTTACTGAACTAAATTTTGGCACGTAAAAATCTAATTTGATTGGACTATATTTTGTCCAGAACCATATGTAACTACATCGCACTGCCATTTTTTCTTCAAGTTTAGGAATTTCCCAAGTCAAAATTTATTTTTTTAAATATCGACTATTTTAAAATACATTGAAAGAAGTATTCGAAAATATACAGGCTGTCTGCTCTAAGAGGGACACTCCTATAAACAGATCTCGCTTAATATACGACTCACGTCAAAAATCTTTATGTTTTTTGTTGAATTGTTTGAGGCCTTGATGCTCGTAAAAACAAATTTGAGATCCATGGTCATGATAGAAAAACCGGAAAAAAACATAAGTTCAGGCCCGTCCAACTTTTTTATTTTAAGAGATAAAGAAAACTTATTTTAATAAAATTTCATGGCAAAATTGATATCTTTCTCCTAGTGTAAACAACGTGAGCAAAAAAAATTGTCATCAAGCAGGCTGTGGCTACAAAAAATTGCTTGTTTCTTCCTCTTTCATGCGATATACTGTATGTTGCCTTTATCTTTTATATTGATTACATTTTTTTCAGTTTTGGTATAAAAAATGTAAATATGTTCGTGTTAATGTATAAACACATAATATTTCTTTTAAGCAAAATACAGATTTTTTGTCACATTACTTGGTTTTTACTTTAGAGAAAACTTGGCATTCAACATTGTTCTTGCATAGACAAAGTAGCTTACTCTAAATATATCAGGCTATGAAAACGAATTGACGCTTTAGTACGAAAACATACTATCTCAGATTTTGGTCGGAAAACATGCTATCTCAAATTAAGCTTGGGAAATATGCTAATTCGGATCTTTAGGTAAAAACATGCTATCTCAGTATGACTAGAAATTTAAGTTGGCACATTGAATAATTGAAACCGTGCATTATATAATATATTTTTAAAAAAAGTAAGGAATGGTTATGTACACTGTTTACTTTATGTTTTTTATTCAACATTTTTCAATTAATTTTGATAAGTTACTGTTATAAACGACAAAATTGTTAATTAAAAAAATAGAATAATATGCAGTATGCTGCAACACGTACATTACTCGACGTTCTTTGAAATAACAAATTATAAAAAAATAATGTATACCCTAATATATAAAAATGTTTATTATTACAAAAATTATTCGATTTTTTTCATACAAGTTTGCTTTAATATCAAAATTAATAGTGTACTCTTATCTGATTTATAGTCGCTACTCTTGATACACTTATTTTTCTTTTTCACAAAATCAGGGATGCACAATTTATTCTGAAAATAATTTTGTATGCCTAAGGAGACTGCAATGAAAAGAATTATATAGTGGACCAGGCTAGGCCCCAAATTCCGGGTCCGAATCGTTCTTACTGCACCTCAATAAAAACAAGGCAGCCGCGTCCTTGCATAGACTTTGAAAATGAAATGCAGGTATGCGACACTTTTATTACCGGTACTTTATGATCTGCTGATGATAAACATGTGTGCATGGGGAACCGCGGAAATGTGCACGTGCAAATCATATGCGCCCTTCGCATCGATATATGTATACATATCATTCAACTTTCTACATTATATTTATATTCTGATTATTATGTTAACTCTATTAACAAAAGTTAGAGTAGTGACTATAAATCAGGTAAGAGTGCGCTATTAATTTTTTTATCAAAGCAAACTTATATGAAAAAAATCTAATAATTTTTGTAATAACAAACATTTTTATATATTAAGGTATACACTATTTTTTTTATAATTTGTTATTTCAAAAAATGTCGAGTAATGTACGTGTTGCAGCATACTGCATATTATTCTATTTTTTAATTAACAATTTTGTCGTTTATAATAGTAACTTAACAAAATTAATTGAAAAATGTTGAATAAAAAAAATAAATAGTGTACCTGAACATAAACAGTCCTTACTTTTTTAAAAATATAACGCGTTCAAATAAAAACGTGGTCGAAGTTGGCTCTGACACATTGGACGTAGGGAGTAGCTTATAGCGACCAACTTAACCTCATTTCTTAACGAGCTGTATAGCAGCTGTCAGTTTCAATAACGTTAATGACTATATAACTTTATTTTAAAGAATAATCGTGATAACAATAACAAACAATTAAAGGAGCTGCGGAAAGTGTCCCCCTCCTTGTTATAACAATAATTTAAAGCAGCTGCTGAAAGTGTCCCCCTCCTTGTTCCAAGCACTTTTCACACCTGTTCCTCAAAGAATTAAAGACATTTTCTAAGATGCTCGGGGTATTGTTAATTTCACGAATCTTGTCTATAAGTCGAGCCTGCAGATGGTTTAAATCAGGAATAGGCAGTTCAAAAATAGTGTTTTTAAGGTAAGGCCACAAAAAGAAATCACACGGCGTAATATCACATGACTTCGGTGGAAATTCATGTTCAGCATTGAGACTTATTAGTCGATTTTGGAAAACTTCCCTCAACAAATTCATCGTCTCGCCTGCCGTATGTGCCCTTGCGCCATCTTGTTGAAAGTAAAAGTTTGTAATTTCGTTTTCTTCCAGCTGGTTAACAAAAGGAGCGATAATTTCTTCTCTATGCCTTTGTGCAGTAAGAGTACCATTAAAAAAAATAGGTCCATAAATCCTCCTTCGATTAAGAGCACACCAAACTCCAATTTTTTGAGCGTGTAGAGGGCCCTCGACAAAAAAGTTATCTGGTTTTTCAGAAGACCACATTCTCATATTCTGTGAGTTTACGTAACCACTTAAATGAAACCAGGCTTCATCAGAAAAAAAGGTGATATTATGAAGTTCACCGTAGTTGTTTAAAAACCATTCACAAAATACAGCCCGTCGCAGAAAATCAACTTCATGAAGTTCTTGCTGACAAGTTAAACGATAGGAGAACAAACGCAAATCTTTTTTTAACACTGTGTGGCAGGTACCAACTGATACTCCCACCATTTGTGATAAAACACGTACAGAAGTTCTTGGCGCATTTTCCATTATTTGTTGGACATTTTCTTTTAATTCTTCAGTCCGCTTTTTAGGTCGGCCGCTTCCTTCTTTTCTTGTTGCACTGCCCGTTTCACGAAAAACATTAACACAACGCTGAACTGCACTTTGAAAAATTTTGTACTCAACAACGCCGGGAAATTGATTTTGAAATTCTATGAAACATTCCTCAATAGAATACTTCCATATTCCATCAATCTTGCGTCCATTTCTAAAGTAGGACTCTATGATAAACACTTTTTGTTCTTGAGAAAACACCATTTTAAACGCTTTTTAAAACGAAAATATTCAAATTGATAGCGGCGATATAGCGCTTTGACAGATGACGTTTAAGTTCATTTGCTATACGCTACGCCCTACGTCCAAATTTTCAGAACCAACTTGACCACGTTTTTATTTGAACGCTCGTTATTATATAAGTTTATTATAAATGCACGATTTCAATCATTCAATGTGCCAACTTAAATTTCTAGTCACACTGAGATAGCATAGCATGTTTTCCAAGCTTAATTTGAGATAGCATGTTTTCCAACTGAAATTTGAGATAGCATGTTTTCCAACCGAAATCTGAGATAGCATGTTTTCGTACTAAAGCGTCGAAACGTGTTATCCCAGTAATGTCTTTATTTGAGGGGTATAGATGCAAAACTCACATCCACTTTTTAAAATTTTTCAGGAAGAAGAAATAACTGATTTCTTACTTTTCAAGTGACTTATGGCTCTGAATTTTTTTTTAGTATTTGTATTAGAACTTTAAATTTGCTTCTTAATTGGTGAAATGACAGCACAACAATATTTGACTCCAAGAAAGTGAGTTAAAGTTTGGATAATGTGAGTTTTGATACAACTTTTTGGATAATGGTAGGTTTGCTCCAAATTATTTTACATAATAGAGAAAAACACGGAACCAACCATCTAGGAAAGCAAAACTCACATTCTCCTTAGGCAATCGGCCATATTGGTTTATTGCTTTAAGCTTTTTCATTGGTGGATATGGATAATGTGAGTTTTGGCAACTTCAGATTGTAGGAGAATGTGACTTTTGACACAATTCACAAATTCCACAATTTAAAAATAAATACGAAAATGCAAGTTTGTACCACTTCTAAACTTTAAAATGGTGTAGTTCAACACGATGAACAAGATGGTGTCACTAACTCTATTTCGAAAAATTATGGATAATGTGAGTTTTGCATCTATACCCCGCATTTAATAAATTGTTTATTGTTACAGTTTATACATAACTGTTGGTTTGAAAATTGTTACAGTTTACTGTGATTTGAAAAACTATAATTCTGAAATAATAATATTTTCACATATTGTAACAATAATATTTTCACATATTGTATAGTCCTTCCGAAGTCAGTTGAATATGCAAAAAAACATCTGGTAATAAAATTTAATGAGTCATAGGCGTCCCTAAAAAAATTTTCTGCTGAAGATAAAAAATTATAATTTGTATATAATGTGTAGAAAATTTCTATTATATGTTGATTTGGCCAACAACATATTTTAATTATTTATGTCCTCAAACAATTTTATTGTATTGGTGGTAAATTTTGTTTTGTTCCGTTTCAAAAGGTCTCCAAAATGCCATGTTGTAATAATATTAGTAAACAAAATATCCCTCTTATTTCTCCCTTTTGCAATTGTAATATGAATGATTGATAGGTGTCTATAATAAATTAAAACTGCCTGATTCACACCAAATTCCTCGCTACTGCACTGCACTGCTGCGCAATTTATGAACCACTTGTCGACTGCTGTGATTTATTGCACAGAAGCCCAATACAACGGTGCTCATTTTCCTTTGGCCGCGCTCGCATTCTTCAACTGGTCGTATAAATTTCTACCACATGCACGTTTAGTTCGACCAGACCTATATGTATATGGGTATGACTAAATAAATATGGGAACAAGTTTTTCAAATATTTCAATGCCGAGTTGCTGCTTAGCGACCGAGCCTGGTACATACCTTGAAATTATAGGTTCTTCAATTGACTTCGGAAAAACTGTAAGTGTAGGTAATGACAAGAAATAAAAAGTGAAGATTCTTTTATATGTAGAAGAATTGAACAGAGGTTTTCAGTAAATATTTGAGTTAGAATTCTTGATACAAAAATCATAGGACCTTACTTCTATGATGGTAAACTGATGGGTGCCAAACATTGCTGATTCTTTGCTTAAAGGAAGTACATTATATTCATTAAATTTTTTTGTAGTTGGCATGTTTAAATCAATTTCTACATTAACCTACATTTTTGATACCAAAATTATAAGAAATGTAATATATTTAGTACCTACATCGCATGAAAGAGGAAAAAACAAGCATTTTTTGTCCTCCAGATGAAAGATATCAAATTTGCCATGAAATTTTATTAAAATAAGTTTTCTCTATCTCTTAAAGTAAAAAAGTTAGACGGCTCTAAACTTTCAGTACTTTTCCGTTTTTTTTATAATTACTCATAAAGTTGGCCATGGATCTCAAATTTGTTTTCACATGCATCGAGGCCTCAAAAAATGCAACAAAAAACATATAAATATTTTTGACGTGTACCGTGTATTAGCGAGATATACAGGGTCGGAAAGTCCCCATGGTTCATCGGCCGTTACGTGAGAGCGATAAGAAGTGGATCTTATTTATGGAAGGGCGAAATGGGCGGTGACTATTAGACGCCTTCATTATAGCCATCTTTCTCTATCGCACAGATTTCTATGACTTACTTTATCGTTCTCACGTAACGGCCGATGAACCATGGGGACTTTCCGACCCTGTATAGGAGTGACTCTCTTATAGTAGACAGCCTGTATGTATGATATGAAATTCCTGGCTTTACAGCAGCTTTAAGCAGTCTGCATAAAATATTCATATAAACATTGTAGAAAAATTAATATTCAGGCGGAGCCTCATGTCACTTAACAGAATTTGTTAAAATTTTCCAGCATAATGAGAGAGTATTAATTTAATAAAAAAATATCCTAAACGTATTTCTATATTTTCTGTTCAAACCTGATCTTTTTTTAAATTAGTTGAATAAAATGTAATTTTTACGAAAGGAAAATAATATGTGCACTTCATCGACGTCATTACATTATAATTGTAAAAATTGTTCTTCGGTTTGATATTTGTGTAAGTATGAAACATTTTTTAGATCGAATGGGCATATACTTGGGATGAGCTTCCACAAGCACCAAAAGTTGTGCCTAAAGGAGTCCTAATAACTACCTCTGAGAAGAAAAAGAGACTTTTCGGTTCCAGCGATGCCACAAAGACACTTTTAATAGGGGATCCTGCCGAAAAAGAGGAGATATGCTTAAAGATTGAATCTTTGAGAGGCAATTAAATGTACCGCTTAGCTTTAATACATCTCCTACATGAAATTATAATTTATATTCTTTATAAACTGTTGAAAGTCTACTGAAAGTATTTATTATATGAATAATGTAAGCTAGTCATATTTCTAATAATAGTAACGTATTTTTTTAATTGACTGCACTTCATTTTTTTATCAGTAACATTTTTATGAGTAGGGCTCCAACTTAGAGACAATTTATTTTTCGTAGGTTTCATTCAAACGTACAAATTGAATAGACGGACTAGTCTGACAATTAAAAATATACATATTTTTTTATTGGTCACGTTTCAGAATGTTTTATATAATTTTTTATATCTGCACTGCTTTACTGCTTCCTACTTGTTTTTTTTTAGAGTAAATATACATTTTTTTCATGATTTGAAATGTTTTATAATCGTTATTATTACTTATACCGTGTTATTGCTTTGTACTTGTTTTTTGGGATAAATATATTTTTCTTTTAAGTGCAGTTTATTTTATAAATTCTAACCACGTTCCTCATCGATATACCCAGTAAAACAACTGGGCTACATGGATTGCTTAAGCGTAAATGATGACATTCAAATTTGCCACCAGATCAAAGTTGACAATATGGAGGTCGCTCAGTAAGTCTTGTAGTTCGGCACAATGTCAAAAGCAAGTTTACGCGTCAAAACTTGTCAGTAGCTGCCTCGGCATTGATGAGTAAATAGGACGTAAACATGCGCAAATTCGTGCTATAATTTTTCTCGTGAGCCGTATTGGCACCAGTGCTACAAAGAAACGAAGCGTTTATTGTGTGACAGTGCGCCATCCCTCAGGACTGTCGAATGATGGTACAAACAGTTTCAAAGAGACATTTTTTAATTCTAATTCAATCCTCTAGGACAATCCGTGTCCGGGCCGGCCGAGCGAAGTGACTACACTTGAAATAGCCGCTGTTCAAAAACTAATTTTGCGAAGACCGCCAAATCACATACACTAGGCACAAAAATTAAGGGATATTAAAAGAATCGCAAAATTTTGGGTGATTTTCAACTTGGAGGGAAATGGTCGTAGAGAGAATAAAAAAAAGGAAGTTGAAACTTCAAATTTCTAGTTTTCGGATCTGGAGTTAAAAATTTTTTAACATCAACAGTTATTGAGTAATCAGAAGAAAATCAACAAAAAAAAAAAAATTACAAATTTTTGCTTTTTAAAAATGTCCATGGACTCAAAATTTTTTTTTTTTTGGTTAATTTCACCGTAAGGCTCTTCGATATGTAATTTAATTCCCTTCAATTTGAGCAGTTCCGGAGCCCTGTACGATGATTTGTCGCTGAGTTATCGTCAAAGCAAAAAAAATCAATTTTGACTTTGGCAATCAATACTTGGGAAATAATGGTCGTACAAAAAATCCAAGCAAGGTTTTGAAAACTGCAGAGTAGTGCCTGTACAAGTCATAATTATTGGTTTTTGATAAAAAAAATATTTTCAGTGAAAATGTTGGTTGAAAAAATTGCTTCCTAGTGCCCAGAATGTTTAATTTGACATTTTTGGAGAAAATCAATGTAATATGTAATTTTTCACTTTTTTTCATTTTTTAAGTTAAATATGTTTTTTTTAGCAATACATATTTTCTTGATCAAAAAACCTTTCTTATTTTTTTCAAAATTTTTACTGATAATTTTACGTGGCCAGTTGCGGTTTAGTTATGGAATGGGCAGGCGTATCCATTAATACCAAAACTCAGTTGATAATTAGCCCCGGAACATTGACTACCAAAAGGTACATCACCGAAATCCTTGAACCTCACGACCTGCCAGCGTTGCCAATTTTTTTTCGGACAAAGCGGGATTTTGAATTCTTTTGAATAAAAAAGCGGGATTCTTTTGCCCAAAAACGGGACATACTAAAAAAACATAATCAATAGTTTTTAACTACTTATCTTTTTATTCGAGTTTCAAATTAAGTGCATATGTAGGGTTACCAGATCTATTTCATGACAGACCCGGAAAAAAGGTCTCTCAGAATATCTGGGAAACAAATTGTTTTCGAAGAAATCGATGTCAAAAAAAGGAAAAAAACGTAATCAGGAAATATCTACTTAATAAACCTGGAGAATATAATTGAAGCCTAAATAAAAAAAACAAAAAAAGATCGGGAAAACGGGCATTTAATTTTACGTTAAAAATGGGGACGTCCCGCCAAAACCGGGACGTCTGGCAACGCTGCGACCAAGCATACAAGCATGAGGAATCTTTTCATTTTCAAATTTTTGAAAAATTTTTTAAAATGAAAATGATCGAGAAAATGTGTATTGCTAAAAAAACATTTTTAACTTTAAAAATTAATAAAAAGAAAAATTATTACATTGATTTTCAACAAAAACGATAAACATTCCGGGTACTAGGAACAAAAAATCGCCGTGTTTTGAAAATTATCAGGATGTCTAGGATATTTTGATGTTGAAAAGTTAGTCAATATCTTTAGTTTATTCATTATTTGCAAAGTTAAGCCGTTATTCAAATATCCCTAATTATGCAATTTTTAACTTTTTTTGAACCAACTTCACTTCGAAAATTTTTTTTTATCAAAAACCAATCATTACTTACGAATTGTAGAGAATAGTTTAGTTTTCAAAACCCTGCTTTGATTTTCTGTACGACCATTATTTCCCGAGTAATTAATTGCCAGTCAAAAAAATTTTTTTGCTTTGATCGATGATAACTCAGCGATAAATCATCGTACAGGGCTCCGGAACCGCTCAAATTGAATAGAATTAAATTACATATCTAAAAGAGCCTTTTGGTGAAATTAAGTCCATAGGCCTTTTTAAAAAAAACAAAAATTTGCAATTATTTTTTTGTTGATTTTCTTATAATTACTAAAAACTGCTAATGCTAGAAAATTTTAAACTCCAGAAATTTGAAGCTTCAATTTCCTTTTTTTTATTCTCTATGACTATTTCCTTCCAAGTTACAGCTCTTTGAAAATCACCCAAAATTTTGCGATTCTTTTAATATCCCTTAATTTCTGTGCCCAGTGTATAAACAGATCCATGAAACCCTTAATATTTCTGCATGGACCATAAATAAAATTTTAAATGAACATCTGGACGTACGCAGATTATAAGTTAAAAAATGCATCATGACAAGTTTATAGACACGCCATTAGAAAAGAATGAAATGTGTATACACTTCCGATTAATACAAAGAACATTTTGCCCTTAAAGCGGCAAAATGTTCATATTTTTTATTTCAGAGTGTACAATGTTTAATTTATTTATTACTGAATGTTAAGTTTCAATAAAATATATGTTTGCGTATGCGTATATTTATTTTCATACAAATCTGTTTACAGAGCCACTAAACATGTCTCCAATGTATTAAATTGAATAATATATCCTTCTCCGTCCCCTGCGCGTTTGCAAGCCTGTACCCATCTGGCTTGCACTCACAGACCGCTACGATGTTTACGGCGGAACCCTTTTATTGGTGGTAATTAAGAAACGCTACCGACATTTTTGTCTACCATTTCACTTTTGTTGTCAAATTGTATTCCTAGTCTGCAAGTGGTACAAATCAAGGAGTGTTTGAAAAAAACAAATTTTTGTAGTCGCCTTCGGCCAAACGCTGTCGGTTTGCAACGACAGACGTTCACAAGTTTTGAGTCACCGAACTATTGTACCATTCACTAAAAAAATATTGTGATATCTTTCTGTTGTAATAATTATACAGAAATATCACACAAAAAAGTACGAAATACTGATACTACGAGTATATATAATCGTTATTAATTAGGCAAATAATTAAACACAGTTATAGTAAAACCAAAAATAACTGTAAACAAAATCTAACTGGTATGATCAAATAAGACACATATTTACAAAATATTTGTAATTAGTCATTCATAATTTCATTTGCTCGCAGCATATTTGCCTCCAGTTGTCACAATTTAGAATTTATTTATATTATTTATTTAACAAATATGTCAGCTCCTTGACCTACATTAATAATAAGTACTCTGTCATAAAAACATGCCATTTGTTTTAACACCTCTAAAAACACTTTAACGGAGGCATGTCGGCGAGTTGTATCTGTGCACCTGCACTTTCCGTATTCTTTCGTATTTCATTGTGACGATGCGAGCACGAATCATTTGCTTTAAAATGTGTTGTAAATTGTAAAGTATCTACATAAATCAATCACTTTTTAAACAGAGGCTAATTATAAACATTTGATTTAAAAACTAATAAGGCATGCAATCAGATAATTCAATTGTAAAAAACATTTTTAAGAAATCTTGGGGGAACTCATTTGGCTTGCTTCTCAAGAAAAATGTAATAATAACAATTCACTCTTCAACAAGCAACAGTAATTATTACATACAAAATTCTATGTTTAAAATTAATTATGGTTTCTAAAATTACATTGGATCTAAAAACTAGTAAAACATACAAAAATCAAATTGTAAAAAATATCTTAGAGAAATCTTAGGGAGGCACTGACCCCCGCTTCTAAAAAAATTGCCACTGTGTAGGAAATTTTAATTATCTTATCATGCTCCATTTTAGTTTAGACAATCTGACTGACACCGAATGGCAATTGCCTAATTATTATTATTACTCTAATTTATTTGTGTTTACAGACTAATTATTAGTTGTCAGAATTGTAATTTTTTAACGTACTTACTACTATTTAACAGTATTCGTAAGAACTCGGAATAACAGTTTTATTATTACGATTAGTTTACGTGCAAAGCTTAATATTCCCATTTAAACAAGCATTGCCATCGCATTCTTTTATATTATCTAAAATCGGCGCAAATACAACTCAAACATATTGAAGTTAGTCCGACTCTGGCTTGGCAAAAAATACCTTAGAACGATAACTGTGACTATCGCCCTCTTTTCGACAGTATCCAAACTATTGAAATACGAAGGATTCCTTCAATTGTTCGGCATGAAAAGATGACGGATGATATAAAACATCAGAACATGTACCTTTCCTGTTTTGACCAATTGATTTATAAAACTACTCAATAATTCTTATTAATTCATGTGTAAATAGTATCCTAAAAGCATTCTGCTGGGTGTGACTATGTTTATAATACCGTACGCATTTATCTGTATGTTCAACTGTTCAGGAAATGTAAGATAAAAAAAATATCCTTTTTTTTCCTTACTTAAAATGTGTTGTCAGTTGTCTCACACCCTGGAGAAAACTTGTATGAGTAGTACAGTGAAGAGATATCGTTTCTAACTTGCTTAGATTTTTTAAACAATTGGACAAAAAATTCATTAAAGATTAAAAACGCCCGCCTTAAGCCCATAAAATTCGACTTGGGCCCGATTTAAGAATAAACTAATTCGCTTGGACTACATAATCTAACAACAGTTTAAGACAGATTACGAAAAAGGTTTATTTTCCAAAAATTTTACAGAATTTCTAACAAAATCTCGTAGTCAGATGATGTGAGGAACAATTACGCCAGATAAAAATATTCAAGTAAAACTTTTAATCTACACATTTAATGATAATTTTTAATGCTATTATTATACTTCACAAAGAAACTAAGAATAAATTAAACCTACTGAATAAAAGAGATGATTATAAGATTACAACAAGACCAGCAATTATAATTCTATATTGTAAAGAAGTAAAAGAAAGTGATACAAAAATAATAAGGTGAAACTCCTTCAATAATAATAATACTTAAATTTAAAATTTCCGTCAGTTCCTAAAAATGTCACACGTCTAGAGTTCTCGTCTGATTTTCATTCGCCATTTAGAAGACAAAAAACCATTTCACTGTGACTTTTTCCGGGACGAGCGGTACTGTCTACATGTACGTAACCTTAGCTTTCCTGGTGGCTCATAGCACGGGCCTGAGCTCTGACCCTCTTTTCGTATTCCAACCGATTCTGGCAGTAAATAGTATAGGCTTCTGCCTGGGCGGGATCCTTCACGTTGGGCTCGTTGAGCAAGTCTTGGATGCCCAAGAGGATTTGTTTTATGGTGATGGCTGGTCTCCAGTCTTTTTCTTCGTCTAACAGTGACAAACAAACAGTTCCTACATGAAAAAATCAATTTTATGATTAACATACAAAATATGATTGTTCAACACTGACAATTTATTCAAGAATTAATTCAGTCAAAGCAAAGTCACTATGACCCGGCCAGCCGGGTCGAAGCGATCTTGCCTGGACTGACTGGGGCTATAACGATCTTGCCTTAACTTAATGGGGCTCCAAACAGGATTTTGTAACTTTGATTTCACCTTCAAAAAACCTTCAAGCTTGACATCTAAGGTAAAGGTCATCATCGTATGATCCCATCAAACCATGAAAATTTCAACCAGAATTAACAAAAATAAATAAAATAATAAAATTTAAACACTCGGATATGAAGCATATTTCGAACCTCGAAATGAAGTATATTTCGACCTACATTTATATGAACTTTTTTCACAAAATAAGTTCGGCAACCACCCCCTAAAATATTTTGCACTTATTTACAAACACCCTGTATATTTTTACATCCAAATTGCCACAAGCCTTAACTTTGTGTATTATTTGCTTTTGCAGACTTTGTTTTACATAAAAATTATATCAACAGGGTACCACTAAAAGTTTAATTTTTGATTAACAAGAAACCCTAAAATGTGAATTAATTTTTTTATTCAAAATTAAATCTGCAATATACAGGGTGTAACTTTAAATGGGAGCCAGTTTTGAGGAATTCCCGTTGCGGGTTCGCCAGAATATTAATCTGAAATATATTATTTAATTAAATAAATAGACAATTCATTTTAAAAAAGCACCTAAATTTATTTTTATTTATGCTGTTATTAGGCAGCTCCTGAACTTGCTTGTATATGTGCACTTATCAATGTTGTTACCTTGTTTTATCCAACTGTATTTAAACGAAAGAGGTGACAGAGAGTGCAACTGCAATGGAAAATAATTTTGTAAAAACATATTGCTTTTGTATAACTTTACGTCATATTATTTTATAGTCACCATATTTTTTGGATGTCAAAGAAAACAAAGCATTGATTATTAAAAAATATATATTTTTTGCAATACTGGCGATGCATAGCTTACTAATAGTTATTATTTATTTAAATACTTTTTTAAATCATTTTAGTTTGCGAATCTTGGTGGCAATGACCTTTGAAAAAGATGTTGGGAACAAAGAGGTGTAGGTGATTTCTCTTTTTTTTAAATTACCGTAAAAATAAGCAATAATTTAATGTAAAAAGGGCAAATTCCCGAGAGGCTTTTGCCTGACTCTGGGACACGTAATATTGCCACTTATTTGCAATTTGCCAACTTAGCGTCACTTCTTTCGAGGTACTTTTTTGATATTATCATTCTACATACCCATATTCATTACCCATAAATTACCTCTAGGTATAAAAAATTTATCGTACAAAGATATTAAGGTAAAATTAAATAAAATTCTTTAATAGAAAGCATATTATACTTTAAAAGAATTTTTTCAAAATAATATATATTGATTTATTGTCATTATACTATGTATGTATGTATCAGTATATTAATTGTGTTATTTTGTTCGTGTTTACTTATCAGCAATGTTAGTATTGGTGTACATCTTGTTTTATATTTAATATTACTTATATTTAAGTATTTAACTTTTTACTATTTTTTACTACATACAGTGAGCGGCAAAAGTATGGAATATATTTATTCAAAAATCAGATGTTCGTTATTTGAAAAATCGCTTGGACCCGTCGAATTATATTTTTATTTGCGCATTTCCTGAAGCAATTTTCATTTATACAGGGTGGCCCAAAAAAAAGTTATGAAATTAAGGCCAACTTTTTTAAATGGAAACCTCGCTTTTTTGTATTTTTATTCAATTCTCCATGGAATTCTGATCATTTTTTATGTAACATAACCTATACCTATCTTTAACCGTTTTCGAGATAATGGTGTTTGAATATAGAATATGGAAAATTTTCAAAAATTACCCTGAGATTTACCCTGCTGGTTTTAAAATAAAATTACGTTTACTTTTCCATTTTAGATTTGTGTGGTTCACAGAAAGTTGCTTCAAATCAGAAAAATCCATAAGAAATAAGTGGTTTGGTGCTAAAAATTTGCAAATAACCTGGCTCGTAATTTAAATAGTGACATTTAACAAAATCATATTTTATAGAATAAAATTATACGTTTTTAATTAAATTATACCTAAATACCTCACTTATACTTTTTACATTCAAGTCATTGCGTCCTAATGATCAAAATAAATCACATTCTGTCTAGTGTAGGAAAAAGTTCTGTTTGTTATTTTTTACTTATAGTACTGAAACGGCTGAACTTTTTAGTCATTTAAATTAACTGAATATCAAAACACAAATGAGTAATTTGTTGGATGTTGGATAAAATATTGAAACATGGCTCAGAAGTATCAAGAAATATATAGTGAGATGAAGTTATTTGTTCACAAATTTATTGCATAAAAAGTGAAATTATTACAAAGTAGAATCTGAATTATTCCTCGTTTTATCTAATAAAAATAACAACTCCCTGTAAGAAAATTCATAGAGTCTAGAAGTGTAAATCCAGATCCTACTTGAATAAATCAATTGTAGTATTAATTCACGAACTACATATGCGCTTTAACTCATGAATAAATTGTCAGTATATTTACACAAGATGTTACAAGAAAAGTAGATCTAGATGACTGAAAAAGATTAATTGAAAAATGTTAATTGATTCAATAATTTATTCGTTGTTGTTTTTATTCTGAATCAGAAGAAGGCAATAAACCAAGGTGACCAACCGTACCGGATTGGCCGGGACAGGTTCCAGTTTTTAGAACGTGTGCCGGGAAATAAAGTGCCCTGGAATTGTACCGGATTTATTTGTTTCGTACCAATTTGTACCGGAATGGCGTTTTCAATAGTATTCGCTATATAACCTGAAATAAATCTCAGAAACTGAATTTAATATAGAGACCGTAAAGTCTATAATTATAACAAGATGTCATAATAATTTTACCTGTTTTATAGATATTTATTTCAAAACGAAAAAGCGTTAAAAAGCTATTCACAGCCAAACAAAATATAAATTTAAATAAAGTACATATACTAGGCCAGGTACACATCTTCACCTGTTACGTAGCTAGTTTTATTTTAGTGGTCTAATTTAATGAAGCAACGTGTTTGACAATTTTTTTTTTTTTTTTTGGTTTCATAAAAGTGTCCCGGATTATCACTTTGAGGAGTTGGTCACCTTGAATAAACATAAAAAGAGCAGCTAATTATAACTTTGAGACCCTGTATCTTAAAATGCTCCTAAATATAGTCAACGGCATGACCCATTTTTTTGGACTCTGTATACAAGACAAATACGTACCTGATGGATAAACGTTTGGATGGAACAATGGTGGTTCAAATTTGCACTTTGGGGGGCTAGTTGGGTAATCTTCTTTGAAGAGCATCCTGAGTTTGTAGTGACCCTCTTCCCAGGGAGTACCCTTTTTTCCAGGAATAGAGCATTCCCAATTCATCAAATTAAGAGAACCATCAGGGTTTTTTGAAGGTCGTGCTACAAATCCGAAGGGATGGTCTTTCCTCCATGCTTTACGTTCTTCAGCCAAACGTGCCGCTGCGATGCCAGACATCCTAGAAAGAAATAAAACTTTGTTTGATTATTTTGAAAAAAAAAAAAAAATTAGCTTTCATAACCCGCAGAAACCATCTCAAATTCTTTACTTAATACTTGTTTTGGGTCTGTAGTACTTTTGCCAATGTTTGCTAAATTGCAGAATTTTATTTTTAGGTAGGAATTTAACAGATGTTTTTTTTTTAAGTTGAATGCTGTGAAAGCTTTAGATATATACAGAACAAGAAGGTCTGTTCATTTGAAGGTCAACCTAGGTTTTTAGATATGATAGATGTATTTCTAACACCGAAAATAGATAGAGCGGAAAATTTTAAGTTCAAATATGTCTTTATGGGTCAAAGGGACCCTAAAGGGTTATTTTAAGGACAAGTAAGGTTCTGAATAAGATTGTGCGATATTTTTCGGGAAAGCACTTATGACGACGGATTCTGCTTGAAAGTTTTATGGGTTAATGGGATCATTTGTTGATAACCTTGACCATGACATAGAAATCAAGCTTGAAGGTTCTTTGAAGGTCAAATCAAGCTAAAAAATAGGAGAATCCTTAATGGGGCTGCCCATTAAGTTAAGGCAAGATCGTTATGGCCATAAGCCAGTAAAGGCTAATCTAATTTAAAAAAGAATAAAATATCACAAGCAATTACAACAAAAAATTTACGATAATGAACAACCCCACCCAAGCACAAAATAAAACATCCACAACATGGAAGAACAAAACATGCCAAAAAAGACCTACTTACAAATGGCCAAAACCTCTAAGGAGTAATCAAAAATGTAAAATTTTGACAGGACATATACGAAACAGTCTGTGAATCAGAAGATAAGAAATATTTAACTTTTAATGCTACTACCTACATTACAAATGTTGAAAGTTTAAGGCAAACTGAAAAATAAATAATGTGATAGAATAATAGTTTTCCTTTTTTCTTGACTTTATTTCATTTACGGTACAGTAATACCATACAAAGAACAAGTCTATCTCATATTTTATCAATGTAAATATTTCAATTGCACAAATGTCATTAATATCCGTCATCCGCCAGAGTAACCAAAATTATGAGTAATGTCAATAAATTCAAATATTCAGTTCCATTAAATTCATCTTCAAATAAAAAATCTGATGAGGAGAAAGAAAATGAGACAAGAAGGAAACCTACAAGCAAATTCTCAATGAAAGAAATCAGACTAGAAGCTACAGTGGAAGATACACAAAGCGAAACTGTAAAGACTAGCAGCAGTGCATTTTATTCAGCACAAAGCAACTCTTCCTTAGCAGCAGCTAGTGGAAACACTGCAGCTGATAACATCAGTGGAAATGGCAGCTTTGCCAGTGCTGAATCTTGTGCACAGTACGAAGATGCTAAATCTAGTACTGAAGTAAGAAAAAATCCATAAAAAATGCATTGTTGCGGATGTAATTACAAATATCTGATGTTTGAATAAAAAGATATCAAATTTTGTTTGTATATTCTCTATTCCACAAAGTAAAATTCAGTATGAACATCCACCATCCATGCTTTTATACCATAGATTTAGTATACCTTATTAGATCCATGTTTTATACAGCATGTCAAATAGATGTCAAATAGATGAATTAAATAAATATTACACAAGGTAAGAGAATAGATTAATGACAAGGTTCTGGTCGAAATAGCATTAATCAAGAGTCTTCATCATCCAGTATTAGTGCATAGTTATCGCTATGTCCAAAATTACACAAAAACCTACTGTAAGTAGTAATTCTTTAAATTATTTGGATAAAAAAGACATAAAGAGAGCAGTTAGTATTAAAATAGAATCCCCTGAAAACTTAAGTGGTACTTTGAATAACTTGAAGATAAGTAAAAATAGTAAATCGCTAACTGATTTAACATACATAAAAAATGAAACCTATGCATGCTCGACTGTTCATACACATACATCGACAAATATTGTCGCAACTGAATCTGAGAAATTTAAAAGCAACTCGTTAGACTCGATCGAAAACATATTACGACAAAAAAAGGAAGAGGAGAGATATGTTACTGCCAATGAAGAAGAAATGACCTGTGCTAATGTCCCAACCATTTATAACCCAGACAATTCAAGGCAAAATAATATAATAATAGTAAGAAGTGATTATGCAAGACAACCTCCTCCTTCTTATCAGTATTACCAAAGACCTCAAAGATTTTCATATCAGGGTATACCAGGACAAACTCCTTATTATCAAACACCAAATGTGGTAAGGAATTTTAAACTTGTATTGCAGAAGGGAGATACTTTAGAAGACCTGTCGTAAAATATTATACACATTTAGTGACAAATCAGTTTTTTCTAGGTATATCGAATGTCACAGGACACAAGCCAAATTTCACCTTATAGAGGGGGGGATACAGGAAATTTATTCGGTACCAGAGAAATTAGAAAAAAATTTATCAGGAAGGTGTACTTGATACTTGCAACGCAGATATTGTTTACATTTGGGTTCATAGCTTTTTGCATATATGAGTAATAATTGTTTTAATTAAAAAAAAAACACTGAACAAATTTAGCTAAAAGATAATCGGACCTAATAAGGACTTTTAATTTATTTATTACGAAACTATTAATAAACTTATGAATGTTATAAAAAAGGATATGCCATCTAATTTGATCAGTGTGATAATAATTCAATACATTTTTCTAAAATTTTCATCAAATGAAGTCATATATATTCTTCAATGTCTGAAGTATGCTAGAGAAATAACTTCACAGACAAGCTAGCTGGTAATAATTATTATCTAAAATAAAAATATAGTTATTTGTTTTATTAGACGAAATATTTTAAATTAAAAGTTTTAATTTACGAACAATGAAGGAGTGAGTGAATTAATTTCTATGACAGCTTGTTTGCTATAATGGGTATGTTTCGGGCATGCCGGTCCAATGAATTATACAAGTTAGAAACTTTTAATGTTGATGACACCAAAACTATGCAAGATCGATCATTTTGTATTACCAACAAAAAATGTATAGTGAGTATTTTGGATATTGTCAGAAAATATGTTGATTTGCATCCTAAAAAGTGCCTCAGCAGAAATGTCGATTTTTTAATGTTCAGAAATGTATACGGTCATTGTTTCTGATGCTTTGAACAGCAATGCTGGAAAATTCTGATGCTGATCTGATAATAGTCTAGGGTTTATGAAGCTGAAAGTCATCTTCAGCAGCTAGAGTGTAACTTTAAGTGCGGGTCAGTTTTTTTTTAATACAATACATGTTGCCTTGAATACGAATCTAAATCTGATATGAAATATTTTTTTAAAATCGATTCAAGTTTTTACAAACAATTGTATTTAATTTGTGATTCTCAGTGTCAACGACCTCCGACATCGACCTAGTTCAGCTGAACTACATACAGTTGATTGAGGATAATTAAAATAGGGATGTACAGAAATATGGTATGTTTCCACTCTTTTTTCTTATTGAGCCACTTCAGCAGCGAATGGGTGCTAGACTAAATTAATCCAAAATAAATAAAATAACATAATTAAAATCTGAACAGTTTAAATTTAAGCAGAATTGCATCATTTTCCAAACATTTCCGAGGTGCAACAGACGTTGGCCACCACTGTTCTGCTGCAATGCCGCATTTTGAAAGCGGATACGCCGACTGTCTTTACACCTGGTATGAAATGAGAATATTCGACTACGTCATCACTATTTAATTTGAATACATTTTTATCGGTTTAGGAGATGGTGTTGGCAAAGTACACAAGAAGACGATCAGTTCAACATAAAAAAATAATTAGTAGACATTTTATTGCACTTTATGACGAGGAAAGGTATGTAAAATGATAATATAAAAAAAGTAACTCGAAAGAAGTAACGCTTAGTTTGGCAAATTGCAAATTAGTGGCAAATATACATGTCTTTTCACTTTTTTTACTGCCCACGAAAATCTAGACGACCTATCGGAAAATTTGTCATTTTATGTTGTAGGCAATGTAATTACCCGCAATTTAAAGTATCTAAAGTTATATTTCACCAATTTGTTAACTGTAAAATAAAGATTGAACGCGGAAATACCAGTTTTCGAAAATTGCGCATTATTTTTGCAAAAAGCGGTGGATGTTGATGAAATTTATGGAAAAGACTGTCAATCCAAAGACCAACATGTATGGCAAAGACCGATTCGATTGCCCGTGAAATTGTTGCTCCAGGTAATTGTTAATTAATTTGGTTCGTTTTTTGCAACTAATTGTTTAATTACTAAAAGTTAATTTTAGAATATCGTAGATATAGGTCATAATTGATACAAAGAAACGTCTCGAAACAGAAAAATTTCAAGAAGTTGAAATTAAGTAGCTCTTTGCAACTAACAAAGTAGGATGTGCAAAACAGCGTTATAAACAAATTGTCCCAGGGTCAGACAAAACCGCTCGGGAATTCGATGTTTTGCATTAAATAGAGCTTATTTTTACGGTAATTAAAAAAAAAAATAGAAGTGTCCTACACCTCTTTGTTCCCAAGATAGCATTTTTTATAACCTTGATTGTTAATTAACTATTGGACGTATCGGAGCGGAATTTTAGAGACAATTAAAGAAAGGGTTAAACCTTTATTTTCAAAAAGTTTTACATTGATAGTTCATGTAATAAACATGCTAACAGCAGTAAAAGTTAATGTTAATGAACAGAGGAACGCCGTGCCCGCGCATGCGCGTAAACATTGCTCTCGGCACGCGCGACTATTTTGAATTGAAATATCTCGCGCCCGACGAGGGTGGTGTTCACGCGCGTGATTGGTCTCGGCGCTCCCACTTCCGCGTGTAGGCCGTTCATTAGGGTTAAATATTACTGCTGCTAGCGCGTTTATTACATGAACTGTCAATGTAAAAATTTCTGAAAATAAAAGTTTAATCCTTTCATTAATTGTCTCTAACATCCCGGTCCGATACGTCCAATAGTCAATTAACTATTAACACTATAAAAGAAATTTATCTTGGGGACAAAGAGGCGTAGGGTATTTCTATTTT